CCTATAGTCTGTGTCTGCTTCACCATTGTAATTGAAAGTAGTCCCCTATAAAGAGTCTACCCCCTTCATCAACCTTGTAAATGTCAGTGCAATTCTTAGTTTAAAAAGTTTAAGTTTTCTTATTTCTTAAGTCAAAATTTGATTCATTGATTAATTCAAACAATAACCATGACATCTATAAGGAATAGCCATGATTTTGGTTTCCATTTTGACATATAAGCCTATATCTCTGAAAATTTATGGGGGAAAAAGCAAAAACAGTTCATATTTTATTATTCTTTAGTCATGATAACATTTTTTTGGAAATAAATTTCAATTGCATTTATTAATTGAAAGGAGAAAGAGGGAATGAGCCACTTTGGCAGCCATTGTGACTCACGATCAGTGGAAGGGAGACACAGAGCTGCCTCTCAGCCTGGCTTCTCCATCAGAGACACATAAAAACCCCAACCAATTGGTGTGCAGTAGAGAAAGAAACTGTATTATATTTTCTAATTGGTGCTATTGTTTTTCCTCATCTTATCATTTGATCACAAATTCACGTCTGACATGTACCCTTTCAGGCTGTCAACATAACAAAGCTAGTTTTGCACCCAGTAATTGATTTCTAATGTTTTTGTGTGAGGAAGTTGCCACTGGGATATCCTTGCCAAGAAAAGTATAGAAAGCTTGGAGCATGGCAATGTATGCTATATCACTTGTTGATCTAGGAGTTGGTTTTGTAGGAAAAAACACAATGGAGTCTGCAAAAAGACATGTGATAGAGTTGCAAGGTCAACAAAAAAAAGCTATCAAAAACATTATATTCATGGTGTAAGTTGTAAGGAAATGGCTACAGCTGAAGAAATACTCATTTGACATAGTTATGTTATTCCTTAAAGCATGATCAAAATTGTTTTGGACTTGTTAGCACTGAGTTTTTCCCGATTCTTTGTGAGATAGTCATAATTAGTCACCAAGTGACCTACTGGTATCCCTTCCCTTCTTCTGCGTTTGCACAATATTCAGCTCTCATTAAATCTTTGAACATTTTCATTCAATATCTTATCTAAAATGGCTGAACCACTTGCAACCACATTCTGATACTTCCATGAGGAAGATTAAAAAAAATCATGTTATTGAATGTATGCAGATATCAAAGAATATCATGAACTCTAAAATTTCTTAAAAACAAAAGACGTACATTGAGGGAGGTTAGGTATGAGGCAAATATTCAGTCTGTTGTTAAGCTGGAATGGACACTTACTGAGCAGGGTTGAGGTGATGCTAATTTGATGTAATGTCTGTGACGGGAAAAATTATTTGTTTATTGTTAGTGGTTATTCTTTTTGACAAGTGGCCTTTAGATACCTCATAAACCTGTTGTGTTGATGCATCTTTCATCAGCCATCGATATTGTGTCCAAGGGTTGCTGGAAGGGCACAGAGACTAGCCATTATTTACATATGCACTGGTATTCCATATAAAAATGAATTGATGCAACTTATTGCTTATTTAAGAGTCCTATTGTGTTCACAGTGTTAATTTTGAGCAAGAATTGTTGAGCATTTTCATGGTGCTGGGTGCCAGCATTTTTGTTGCTGAGCCATTAGATGTCAAACCACCAAGAGTGAATCTTTAGTGAGAACAGACACATCATTAGCAAGCCCTGTTCCTGGAGAGGTTACCATGTGCTGTTGTCTGAAAAAGTTCATGTTATTTCTGTAGCAGTAAAAATAAAACTGGACAACAGGTCACATACATCATAAAATGGTATTTAGTAGTTGGAATGATGAAAATTCCAGATGTAGGTACATAGCCACATATATACATGTACAAGTATATATTTTTCTGTCAAACAGTCTTCAAATTAGGTGACTTGTAAGTGTCAGAAAAATTATCTTCTAGAATTTTTTAATTCCATTTTTTGTATTAGGTGGGGTGGGGGTATGGAAGGAAGATTAGATAAACATGCACAACTGGTGAAAAAAGTATTTGAGAAGAGAGATATTGTTTATCATTTTAGTTATTCAAAAATTGTAGCCAGAGAATGTAGAAGAGGTATGTCATTTGAGTGGCAAGGATGGACTTTTAGAGTGAATCTGTGTTTTCATTTCTTCCAATAATCAACAAGTTGGTGGTGTATGGATAGCTTGCTGCTTGTCATAAATGTGGCTTGATGGGACAAATTATTGATGAATCCTTGTGTAAATAAGACCCTGTGTTTGCCAAGATCCTTGTCACAGAATATGTTTGAATAAAATCATTTTTGGCAAGAACCCTTCAACTTCAGAGGCAAAAAAAGTGTTCTACATCTTAGAAGGCAGTTTTGATGTTTTGAGATTTTACAAGACAAAAGAAGATAGAGGACCATAAATGTCTTGAGCCTGAAGTTTACTTCAAAACTAGACAGGGAGAAAAAAAAGTTTGAATGCCATTTTCCCCCAGTACTGGGAATTCCTGGTCACTGATATATATGGATTGGAAATTAATTCTGTGTATGTTGCACATAAACTGTTGGCCATAAAGCGCTAATGGGAGTTTTAAGTTGATTAGGCATATTGAAAGTTTGAAGCCAGTAGGTAATAATGTAGTAGCCTCCCGGGATCCTGTGTGCCATACAACCAGAGAGATGCTGAACTGATTACTACTGATTAAGCACCTCAGAAACCCAGAGCATGTGTACTCAGATATAGATATTATATTCCTCGACTCCCTCATTGATCACTTTTCACATGCAGTGTAGTGATTGATGATATTGTTTGTCAAGGATTTACTGACTTTAACAAAAACTTTGGAAAGCTTAATAAGCTATTGGATAACTGTGATTGGGAATAAGTTGACAGTTACCTGGAGAAGTTCTGGATTGGTTCTAGAATTGATGGGCATCTGGCAGTTCTCCTGTCATTTTTTCTGAAGTGATTTTTCCTTCAGAATGCTAATTTGACAGAGATGTGTGCATATTGTGGGGGTAAAACTTTTGAGTTATTGCTTGACACACATTGTATTGACTGCAGTGGGTATGAGTGACGGTTTACGTGTTGCAAGTTTCCGACACAGTCTCTAGCTTTAGCCGATGTTGTGGTTGTGATGTGTAATAGATAACTGGATTAAAATTACTTCTGGATACCAGGTTATGAACAAATCATGAATTCACCTAAAGTAAAAGACAGGTATGCTTTAACTATCTTTTTGTCTTTTTTTCTTTCTTTGTTTGTTTTTACTTTTGTTTTCTTTTGCTGGTCAAAATCAAAAGCAAAATGTTGCAGAGTTCCTGTATTAGATAAATACACACATCAGCAGCCAAGCATTAGTATGGACATAGCTGACCCGCCATCTGTTTTTGCACTAATTAAGGTCATATATGGTCTCCAGGCATATTAATTTTATTAATGGTTCAAATGGGAATAGAGTACAGATGATATGGCAGTCAATCAATATCAGTTACTCCTAAAATTAGAAAGCTCTTAAATATCGTAACAGTTATTGATGGGTTATTAATTTATGAGAAAACTGTTGTTTTCTTTGTAATTTCTTTACAGCTTTTTTCCCAGTCATGCAAACAAAATCTGTAAAAAAACAAAACAGTTGACAAAACAATTTTGCCAGAGTTTGAAAACTACAATTCCACTTTTTTTTTATGCAAATGAACAACAAAGTTACTGATTAAGATCAAACATGCAGCAAAAACTTATGGTCTAGCTTATTTCTAAGTCATAAGAATTGCCATCAAATACATATACAGTACATGTACTACATATATAAACTTAAAGAATTCTGTACTAGGTAAAATGAATTAACAATGATGAAAGTTGCAGTGTCCCATGGTTAATCATTATCCCTAAAAAACTGTACTCTGAAATGGTTTGAAACTAAAATCTTGAAAGTATGAAAATAAGGAACAACTTTGTGCTATAGATAAATTTTGATTAGATTTGAGTCCCAGCAGTGCTGTTGATTTGAATAGAGTGAAAAATATTGATAGATGAAAAGTCCTTAATATCAGCATATAGAGTTTGCAATGCATACCACATTAAGATTCAAATATTACAGAATATTTGCCTCTGTAAATACCCCATGATGGATAATAGCAGAGGATCGAGAGAGAGTGATTTATGAGGCCAAGACAAATATCATTTCCGACTAATTGCTGGGTAATCTTCAAAACAAATCACATTAGATTTTTTTTTATACTGAAGGAACTCCTGATATGTCTCAGTATCAACTTTTCCCCTATATCAAACACCTATCTATCTAAATCTTTTGTCCATAAATCTTGAGACATGATCTGGCAGAATGGAGGAATATTTATATAAATCATGTTTGATTGATGAGATTATTCATGAAATGAAAATATGGCATAGAGTTCAATGTGAAAAAGCTATGTGTAAATTGACTTTTTGTTCATGGATGTTACATGTATCTGAGCATCACTCGGATCTTTAACTCTCTTTCAAAACAGTATTCTTTAACTTCTACAAGAAGTATGAATTCATTTTTGTACAATTTTTCCATTTAGAGATTTAACAAAGACTCCTTGAAACATATGAACAGATGATATTAATTATTATTTATATGATCTTTCCAGAATTTTTGGGTTTATTCTGGAATAATGCAATAAATGTTTTCCTGTTCTTTGATGAAAGCATACAAATTATGTAAACTTTTGATTAGAAGGAACTTTATTTTTGCTAGATATTAATCTGTTAATTTTTCAGGAATTTCCTGCTGAGTAAACATATGTATCAAGAATGTGAAAATGCCTAGCATTAAACATTTATCATTCAATCTGGGTAGGTTAAAAGTTTGGTGGCTACATTTGAAGTCACAGGAGAAGTTTATGAATGAGGGCTTTGAGAAGCTGAACTTCTGATGCACCTCCTTTATTTTGTGGAAGTTTCTGGCATGTACATTATAATGTCCCTTACATGTCAGCCTTAAAATTGCTTTGTTCTGAATGATTTATCGTATATTTAAAGTAGTTTATTGTATTAACCCATCTTTGAATTTTTGTTCTTTAGGGCTGCACAAAAACTAGGAAAGAAGAAGAAGAAGCACCACCAACAGGAACCAGATCTACCACAATACAACACCAAGTACAATGAGGTGCTGAAGAACTCCCCACCCCCAGCCCCACCCTGTCTTCTGAGGGCAGCAGGGCGACTCCAACAACCTGGAATTGGAAAGGTAGGCATATATCAACATATTTCAAGGGAGTCTTAAGTTTGAAAGAAGATTTATGTCTTTCTTGTTATATCTTGTAAAGATCGATGCAGATGAGTGCATAAAAGTGACCAAAACAGGTTTCCGATGCTCAAGATTAAGTATGTAGTTTACTTCGGGATGTTCAGTGTCAGTATATGTAGATTCCATCATAAACCTGCCAGAACTGTCCAAGGTTGTTATGACCCTCAAAGGTCCAGCACCCAGGGGGATGATAGATGAGGGCCTGGCTAGTCTCTTCACACAGGGAATACCTATCTCTCCATAAACATGTCTCTCATATCAGTAGTGATGGATTAGACTCCAACAAAAATTAGAATTTTTGAAAACATAGATGTACCTGTATCTTTCAGCACTGAACATAGATTTCTTTTAGCCTACAGGAGTGATTATTATGTTCTCTCCTGTAGGGAAACTTCATGGTCAAGCATATCCATCTATCAACAGACTGACAGTTGGCAGTGCTTGAGAGTTGTAAAAGTTTGAAACAGCCCAGATACCTATGTGGCTTGGAAATGATCAAACTGTGAAAATGGAATTAAACCAGTAGCTTTGAATTTGTCTGACATATACCAGTGCTCTTGTTGCAGAAACATCATTGCTACATATGTTAGTAAAGGTCAGACATGCCAGGGATGTGTAAAGAGGGTCTTTATAGGTGTACAGCTCATTAGCTAAACAGACAGAGAGTATTCCTAGTTCTTGGTGTTGACCATTATCTGTAGCTGTAGAAATGAGGTGTCAGAAGTAAACTTGATGAGAAGCAATCAATCTTTGGCATAGCTAACCAAACATTGGGGGAGTTGGTTACATAGTATAGCTGTCAGAAATGATTCTTTTGGCCTTAGTATTGTTTTGAATGGATAGGATGGACTTTTTAATGTGTTTCATGCCCTGCAACTAACAACTCAAAATTTTATCGGTCATATCAATGTATCATAGCTGCTAGGAAGAAATGCAATATCCAATGGTCTTGCGTTGTAAGATGTTTTTCAACATTGAAGACCAATGTCTTGGTAGACATTTCATGAATGAACATATTATTAAATTGTTTCTGGGGGTGGGAATATTTCTCTTCAGAAAAATTTCTCTCGCAGAAAATCAACAACAATCAGCTTCACAAGGCTTTAGAGTTATAGGGGGGTCCAGCTATGTAAACAAATATTGTATACAAGTTCAATCCCATCCTTCTTGATTCTTTAAGGTGGTCAAGACAGCACAGGATTGGTTTGTTTCCTTGTGAAAAATCTCATGAGTAAAGTGATTATCCCCAATTATCACCCCTCCATGACCTTGATTGAAATGCTACCCTCTCAGAAGAGCCTGTATAATAACTGTAATAGATTAGGATCTGGTATCAATCTGAGGATAACTAGAAGTGTATTGGAGGATTAGGGTTAGGGAGGCAGTCTCTTGCTGTGACTTGGACCATAAGGACAAACTAGATTTAATGGAGAGGGGGTTTACCATCTTTTTGTACCCATCTCTTTGTGACCCACACCCAGGACCAGTAGTATTCAGTGGGGGATTGTCACTAGGACAAATTATTGATCAATAGATTACATGTTATTCAACACTGTTTTGGCAAATACTATAGAATTGTTTTCTTGTAACAACTAAGAAAGGAATTGATGATTAAATTTCTCTGCTGTTTTGGGGCAATCTTTTTCTAAGTACATTTTGCATTTTCCCAAAAACCCTGCTCTCAAAGAGATCTGTTTTATTTTTTTTTTTTTTTTGCGAGAGGTGTACCAGTATAAAGAATGTTAACTTGATTTGGAGTCTAGACATACAGGGTTTGGTCAGTTAACTGTTTGACCAGATCATGCAGCCATCTGTTCTCTCTGTCAGTCATGTAAGGTGGAAATAGGGTGAAATAGATGGATAGGAGAAGAATGATAGATAGGACTTGTGGTATATGAACTCTCATAAGAAAGAGATGTGGTTTGCAAAATAAATTGGTATTGAATATATCAGAAAATTGATTGTTATAAACTCTAGTCTTTTATGCCTATTTATGCTCCATAACTGCTGGGTCATTTTTGATCATACTGATGTTGAAACCATCCCTATGTTCCACTATATCTTAGGTGAGTGATGTGGCCCATAGATGCTGTACCTCTTTAAAAAGTGGTGCTCTGAAGTCATTTGAAATTTTACATAAAACATAGTTCAGAACCCACTATGGAACTGTTTTCAGATAATCTGAAAAAGATTAAATCAAGATTTTATCTGATAGACATAAAATTTTCACTGTTTAAAGAATTTCTTCTGATTAGCAATGTGTTTGATGTTATCAGAAGTTGGGGACAATAACACACAGGAAACAGGGGACCTCAGATATACCACCTCTCTCTGATGTTTTCGTGATCCCATATCCTGCATATGAATGAAAAACCGTGATTCCAGACTCAGAAATAATCAGCAAGATTAAACTTTGATGGAACATGATGAAAAATTGTATATTTTAATTGGAAACATTTTGAGAGTAGGAGAAAAGACTTTGAAATTGATGATAATTAATTTTTCTGCACTTGACGTGACTGTTGAGAGGTTTAGATGATAACTTGTTGCCTGCTAATTGAAAGGGTCTTTCTATTTCCTGGTCAACTAATGAACAGTTCACATCCCTTTCATGTTGTATGAAGTAACCTGCTTGAATATTTGATTCCAACACATAATCATTTCCAGAAGTAATTAACACAGAAAAAAATCTTATCAATTTATGAAAAAATTTGTTTTATCATTCTATTTTTATTTACTGTATAATATTAAGTGGATGGCTTAGCTATCGGAGCTGAATCAAGCTGTTTCTTTATTGGAAAATTGATCTGTCATCGGATGTGGGAACGTTACAGTTGATATGTAACTGTAGATCTGTTATTGTAAATAGTAATAATCAGAAGGTTTAAAGTGACCTGTCAACATGTTACAGTATCCGACAAATCAACGAAGAAATGTCTCAGAGGACACTGCCACCACTCCACCACACTCGACCCACTTCAAATTATACCAGCACTTATCATCAGGCTGTGGTCACTTCTGTCTGACCATAGATTTCAAGGGAAAATTTCAGTAATTATAGAAGATTGATTTTACTAGGAATATGAATTTGGTATTTGAATGTGTATAAGGCAGGAGACACACTGCCGATTTTACAAGTGGCATCAATACAGAGGATGAATGGAGCCCCGGCAAACATTAGCAGATAGTCATCTCTTGAAGATTCCTTTAAAATAAATTTAAGGATAAATATTCATACAAAATGAGATAGGGATGGTTTAATGGCCAATTGATGTCTCCCCTGATGATGTGGCTATGACTCGTGGCTGATTCCAGTAATGATATGTTTATTAATATTTATTTAAAGATTCAGTGATGATCAGACCTAAATGTAGATGGACAGATTAATGAAATATGGCAGAACTTATGTTACATGGAACAATTAAAGCTTGTTAAATATTACCCCCCCCCCCCCCCCTGAGTCCTCTATACACTTTAAATAAAAAAAAAATAAACTAACAAACTTTCATGCTATTTTGAGGCCTGATTTGTTTATCGTTAATAATTCATGTGAAATGAACATTGTAGTCTTATAGGCAGCTGTTTGTTAACATGTGGTTGCCAACTCCTGAAGTACTGTTCCAGTAATGTTCTCTGAATGTTTTATTTGGTTTAGCATTTGTTAAACATTAAAAAAAATTGCCAATTATAAAACTGCACAAAACATGCCCAAGAAAATGTGCAAAAAAATGGAAAGTAATAAGAAACGCCAGGGGAAGCAATTTTATGGTCAGCTGACCAGCCGTGCTCTTGATGGTCTTCTTGGTAGATGGTTATTGGCTACATTTTTTAACAACCATAAAATATCAACAAATTCTGTGGTTAAAGTGTGTGAATTTTATTTTAAAAGAATAGGTTTTGACAGATTTGTAATAATTCAAAAACCGTAGCCACTTCTACATTCTCTTTGCAGAGGGAGGAAAGGAAATCTATATAGCTGTCCCATCTTGGGCATGCAATCAAAAGTTAGTGTAAAAATCCATCCAATTTCCATTCTGTTTTAGAGAGCATGAAACTTAATCATCTCCTAATTCAGTATTATTCAACAGGTTCTACTCAAAGTAAAAAAAAAAAAAAAAAAACCCTGCTTAATGAAGTCCATTTGCACTGTGTGCTTGATTTACTGAGCAAGTAGAAGGATAGTGGAAGCAACGGCTTTTTTATGGACAAGGGAAATTTGATTTCATGGGAACTGCTCTCAAAAAAGACTGATTTAACAGGATTTGATTTAATTTTGTAGCCATCTTAGGCCCTATTCCTACCATTGAGCAAGGGTTATCATGAGTAATACAAGACTGTCTTGGACTTGGGCCTCTGACTGACAAAAAAACTTGCATTTCACTTTAAAATATATGAGCAAATTTGACAAATTGTTGTTCTAAATTTGAATTTTAAAAAGTGTAGGAAGATGATGGAGGAGGTATTACTAGGCATTTAGGGATGAAAATTTATTATTTCCCTTAGATGATGATTTGTTTTGGGGTTTTTTTGTCCCGCCATGAATATGTTTGAAGAATAAAGTGTTTCTATAATGTCCATCTTCTACATGTAGTTGGTCTTTCACACTTTGCGTTAATGATATAGCTCAGATTCAAAAAGAAACTATTCAGATGTCATACAGTGCTACAAATTTTCATGTTGCATTACAAATGAACCCAGGGTGGGGCATTCATAGCCCATGGACACATTTCTAAGTTTTTGCTTCTTTTTTCATGGAAATATGCATTCGGTACATGCAGGTGTTCAATTTGAAGCACCATTTTTGAGGCAAATGTCGTACTTTCTGAAATGACAATAAATCAAATGACAAAACTATCAATGTGATTGATTGAGAAATTAAAAGAGAAAATGTGTTCTGGTTGTTCATACTAATATCCTGTTATCATGCTTCTGATTCTCATGAAATATTAAATTTAGTTCCAATCAATGAATAAGAAATTGAAATCAAGAATTTTTTTCTAATGCATTTGATTGATGTATTGATTTGTATGCAGGTGCAGATTAAGATATTCAAATCATGTTTTACAGTGAATGTGGACACACCAGCATAGATTTAAAGGAAAGCGAGGAGATGCAATTCCTAAAATTACTATGGTTGTTATTGATATTAAAGATAAATAAAAACTGATAGCAATTTAAATTCATGGGTACATAAAAGTAATCACTTATAATTTTTGGTTGATTTATAGGTAAAGGTCATGTTAAAGATTTGTTCTGAAGGACAAGCACAGTCCTGTTTATCCATCGACCCAAGGAAGAAACAGGTCACGGTCTTTGACCCCTCCACAGTTGGGGTCACGACCTCATCTCATCGTAGAACCACACCAACAGCTCCTAAGATGTTTGCCTTTGATGCAGTATTTTCACCTGATGACTCGCAGGTAACTTAAATCTTCAATAAATTGCTGGAAATAGTAATATTTGTCTGCCATGACTACTGGTTGTGTGCTGGATTTGAAATTGTTACTGTTGTAAATTAAATTAAAATTAAATTAAATTTATGGCTCTACTAAGACAAAGTAGACGGATACTTGGCAACATTGTACAATCTTTTTAATTGAAATTTTGTGACTTTCAGACGGAGATTTGTTCCAGCAGCCTGACAGACATTATACAAGGTGTTGTCAATGGAGCTGACGGCTGCCTGTTTTCCTATGGATATTCCAGACAAGGTTTGTACTGCTACAAAGAACACATTCTTTGGAGGAATAAAAACAGTTTTCATCTCCCGTTTTTTTAAGGGCTGATGATGCCTCTTGTCATGCCCTCAGAACCTCTTGCTACAGGTTGAAGTCACATGTCATTATACTTAGATCATTAACGATGTTTTCTTCAACCCATATGAGATTTATTAATTCAGAAATAGTTTTTCATCAGCTCAGAGACATAATGTGCAATTTTTGTTAGATAATTAAAGTGGTGTGCAGAAGATACATCTGTTTTACATGAAAGCCTTTATTAAATGTGGTGAAGATGTGCACAGGCAGAATAACTAGCAATTTTACGTGTTACATATAAAATGACTAATGCTGAGGAAGACATTTTGTTTGTATATCCTAAACATAACCTGAGAGAAATATCTGCCTATAATGTATCCTTGATTGTGAACACTGTAAGCTTTTTATTTTCTGGGTTTTTAGCAGTCTGAGAAACAGATCCTTTAATTAAATCTGGGGAGCTCTACCATGTTAACAGTTTACTATAACAAAAACAACATTTTTAAGGTTGCCATGAACATACCAAGTGAATAGTTTGTTAATTGTTGACACAAAATTTACCTCCCCTTGCCACTAGGGGGCTCCCTGGATCTTGTCTGTCTGACAGTCCCGGATCTTCCCAGTGAGAGAGTTTGCTTCTGACTCATGTTTCTCTTGTACCAATTAGATTGGCAGGGCTAAAGGGATTTGTTATCTTGTCCTTTGTTTTCTATCATTATGTTGTCATTAAAATATTGTTATGCTTTTAAACCACCCTTAACGTTCATTGTAAAAGAATTTGAGTCGAGTATTGAGATTTTAAAGTTCTTGATGCAAATATGTCGGAGCTTTAATAAAACCATAATCTGTTTACTTAGTATTCATCAAAAGCATATTATATGAGTAAAGCATCTCTAATTGTGTTGGTTGGTTAAGTTTTTGCTGCAGTTGCTGAGAATGATATTAATAATCAACAGTCCCTGAGCTGCTCTTTGAGAATGTCAGTGTCCCCACAAGTTGGTGAGGGATGACTCAAACCAAAACAGAAAAAAGATGTGCCAAAATTTAATTAGAACCTTGTTATAGAGACTGAGCAACTGGACATTCAATCAAATAAAAACATGCAAATATCAGTTGCCTCCTAACTAGATTCTATTCAAGACCATTATCATGTCTGGAGAAAGTTTTCATTCATCAATTAAATTAATTTGATTCCAATTGGAAGAGAAAAAAATTAGTCCTCACTTCCTCCAATAAAGAGCTTGTCATCTGACCAAATATCTAAATCTGCCAATTACTTTGTTTATTGAATTGAGTCTGTAGAGAGTGATTATTTTTGATGATGATATGGTTGAAGTTAATGGGATGGATTAGGGAGTTGGGGAATTGGTGTGAAGTGAAAATAGCTCTCTTCTCCTGTCAGTGCTGGAATGTGGATCATGTCTTTATTTTATAGCCATAAAAAGTTAATTCAATAAAAAAAAGGGAATCAGATACCCCAAGATCTTAAATGCATTGAGATCTTTATTTTGACATGTTAATTGTAAATGATATACATGTATCAGTGCTACAATTATTGTAAAGGTCTATATATGGAAGGTTTACAATTAATGTACAATGTATTAATGTATTAATGTATTAATGTATTTGGTATTAATAAATCTTATCTTATCTTATCTTATCTGTATATTGGAGGTTATTACTCATTTCCACCTGTAAGTGAGTTTCAAATCCTGTGGATTATGTCAACATCTATTAAAAGAGCCTTGTCATTTTTTTCTCTGTACAAGTTAGTAGCAGAAAGCCCCCACTTGCTAGAAAGATCTTCATATGACCTAGAAGTTCTGTAATACATGTGTAATTATTTGATCATTGGTGCATTTTACTTTTAGGTAAATCCCATACTATGATGGGAGAAGACGTGTCAGCTCAGACCTTGGGAATCATGCCTTGTGCCATTTCTTGGCTTTTTCGTCTCATCGATGAGCAGAAGGACAAAACGGGAGCCAGGTTTTCTGTCAGGGTGTCAGCCATAGAAGTGTCCGGAAAAAACGAACAACTGAAAGATCTACTGGCAGAGGTGGCAAAATGTAAGAGAAATCAATTTGTATGAAATATTTTGGTGTAACACTCTCATTCCATATTACTAAAAATAGGAATTATAATAGCATGAAACGTAAAAATCCTGGACCATATGTGTTAACTTGTCTTGCATATCTATGTCCCCCCTTTCTTTCTCCTTTTTCTGAAGCAAATTTTGATTTTATGTATAAAAATACTCAATCTATATACATAAGGAGGAAGTTGTGTTTCACTATTTCATTGTTGTGTGGCTGCATCTCTTCTGTTGTGCAAAGGCATCTTTGAATGTTTTATTGCATACCAGAGAGTGATTGGTGTAAGGCAGGAAGTTTATTTACATTGTATGAAATAATTGTGTTCTCGAAGCTAAAAGTTAGGGTCTGTTTTGTAAGAAGTTCTTCAAATGATAGTTTGATGAAATGTTGATCAGATAGGCATGTGTTGTGCATGTGCATCAAAAAAAAAAAGAATGTTGGTAAAAGTATTGTGGAGAGCTTTGCTGGCATTAATGCATGTAATGATCTGCACCTGAAATTCATCTTTGGCTATGTTGGAGACTATATGCATTGTTGAAGCCAGTAATTGCATTACAATACAAACCTAAACCAACTCCATTTCATCCTAGTTATAGATGTCTGCATGAATTCACTGCCATGATTAGTGTTAATTACACGACTTTTTTATTGGAGAAAAACATGCAACAGACTGCTAACTACAAGTACTCTCTAAGTGTTCATCATACGATCTTTGAAATATCTCTTGAATTGATAAATAGCACTGATGGGCATATTCCAAGAATCTATTGCAATAAGAATGCTCATTAAAGCATGCTGGAACTCATTGTCAAAACTGTTTTTATGTATTGATGTTTTTGTCTGGAAATCAAAAGGACTTGCATAATTATTTAACAGAAAAAATATCTAATAAAATCTGTTGTACATATTTTGGCATTTGATAAAGGTGGGATTTAATTGGCAAGAAACATTATCTTTGCAACACCTGATTTTGAGAAGAATTTGCTTGATGTGTATGTAATTCATTTTTGGTGCATAGCATTATACTTTCTACTGAGGAAAAAAAGAAAAAAAGATCCTTAATCCTTTAAATTTTGCACTTGCACAACGCAAATAAACAATTTATAAAGTTAAAGCTGAATTTAAGCTATGATCTGAAAAATCTTGATGTAAAATGTTTCTGAAAAATTAGATTTAGTTTTTATTTCACAAAAAATAATTTAGTTATTGTATTTTAAATATGAGCCTAAACTATAATAAACTTTCAGCATCATCATTTTAAAGAAGCGAACATTATTTTTAATTTAATTATTTTACCTCTTTTTAAAAGTTCTCAAATTACATAACTCATTAAAGACGAGTTATATTTTTTGAAAGGTTTTTGACCTGGTCCTTGGGTTCATTGTATTGTATTGTATTCATAAACTTGATACAAAAAATGGATTTTTAATGAGAGTATAACACTGGGTGGTTTCTTTAACTAATTGCCTCCCATTATTTAATTACCCGAGATGAGGTATATGTTGAGTGAAAATGTGTCAATTTTGACAGCTCTACCACAGTGCACAATATGGTGCTGATTTTTTGCATTTTTCATTTATTTACCATTTACTCCTGCTTAAAGAGGCCTTAACTTTATTACATTGTTTTTTTCAAACACAAATGGCTACAAAACGAAGATCTTTATAAAGTCTGCTCACTCGGATGTTTTTTGTTTTATTAGTTGAATAAACTTGAATTTCAGTTTTGTTTCTAGTTTTAATAAGCAACTAATGTGCCCTGTTTTGAGTGATCATTTTAAAAAAGGAAACATAATAATAATATTACATTTCTTTTCATTAAGATACTGAAGCCGGTGTGGGAACAGCCCCTGGTGTGTACCTGAGAGAGGACCCAATCTGTGGAACTCAGCTGGAGAACCAGAGCGAGCTCCGAGCCCCCTCCGCTGAGCGAGCGGCGTACTACTTAGACGCCGCCTTGGCCTCTAGAGCTCAAGGTTAGGAGCTAGTTGTTTGTCAAAATATTTTGTAAGAAAACAACCAATATCTTAATTATAAATGTTTGAACCAATATTTAAAATATGCTTTGGTGAATACTTTCTGCAGATGTAGTTAAAAGAGTATTGACATGAGGTGCATATGATTAATGAATTTTGATAGGTAACATTGTGGGGTCCATTGAAGCTGGCTAAAACATGCTAAAATAGCTTTGCCAAGCTGATCTGCACATATTAATAGGGGTTGTAGCAAGCCAAGAAGTAGGCAGTTATGTGACATGAAAGCTGCTAATTCAACCTGAAAATTCCCCTGTTGGCAGAAAACATGTTTTAACCCTTACTGAAATTGACAATTTATTTCACACACAGCAAACATCTGGAAATTCTGTTCTCTTGTTCTTAGTACTAGCCAACCATATCAAGGTGCAGTCTTCTGCAAAAATATGAATTCACATAACAAAGGGCTACTCCAACAGGGTTAGGAGTTTCATTGTATAATGTACAACCTTTCTCATCAAAGGTGCCACACCATGAGGTTCTTGCAATATCCAGGCCAAAAATTGGTTTGCTTCAAGGATTAATGAATTAATGAACATATGCCTGATTATTAAGTACAGAAAGAACAATGAACTTTTTATTAAAAGTGCACATTTGTAGAGATCTAACTATTTGTTAACTGAGTTTCCTTGAATATTTTTGCAGAAGATGAGGAGCTGAGATCATCTCACATCGTGTTCACACTTCATGTTTATCAGTACAGGATAGAGAAAGCAAATCAAGCTGGACTTCCAGGAGGTAAGGACTTTCTCTCTTATACACTCATTCTTATGACCAGACTACAATGTAGTTGTCAGAGATTGATTCAAACATGTCAGCATATTTTTTGTACCAAATATAAGCTTACATTGTGGAGTATAGTGAAATATTTTATTGCTTATTATAAAAGAAAGATTTGAATAAAAAGTTGCAGTTTTAGGGGATTTCCTTTTGCCTGATGCAAAATAACATTAATCTGCATTTAATCAGAAAAATGAAACAAGAAATAGAGTATCTACCTATCAGTAATTTTGAAAAATAAAAATGTTATGTTATCAAGAATTACATTTGTGAGATTATTTCAGTCTAGACTTTTCACTTTGTTTTTGTATAAGGTGGCAAAAACTTTACACAAAGGAATAAAATTTTAAAATCACAAATAGACATCATATTCAATTAAGTACCTTTTGTGTAAAATTATATTTGAACAATTAATTCAAAATCAGTAGTAAAATTTCTTAGGCTTGGCAGTGGATTATCAGTGTAAAAGTTCCCTTCCTCAGACAGGAACTGGTAATGTTCTTTACTTTTTCTCCTGAATGCAAATTTGAGTTTCCCTGGTGAGGCTCACTAAATCAAATTTTGTATGCTGCATGCCAATCACGGAATTCCTCCATCCTGGCTAAATCAAATTTGAAAACTTGATTCGGCACCAATTCAACTGGTTGTGTGATTTGAGTGAAAGCATTTTTCTCTTGATAAAAAAGCAACAAGTTGAAGCACTTTTTCTTGATGTCTTGGCTGAAAAATAAATGCTTTCGGGATTTATAAGAAAGGAGATATCAACTCTAGAAAGCACATGCAGATGACAGATTTTGAATCGGTCTAATATGGTTGCACTGCTTGGGGAAGTGGTCCATTGATTTGGTATTGAAATCAGTGGGTTATTTAGAATGCATCTAGATACAGAAGTGGCCAAAGTGAATGTAATCAATAATGGTAATCCAAAATGTACACAGAAAGGTTGATAGTTTCTCAGCTTTGGAACAGCTCTCCTCAGATCAAGTAGACCTTACCCCGGACTAACATCAATTATGCCATTTCTCTGTTTAAACTTAGCCAAATCTTCAATCAATCAGACTGCTAAAGAACTGAGAAAAGATAATGCTTTCCTGTTCACCCACAGATCATCAGCACTATCAAACCGTTAAAATAAAATAATGATATACATACACTTCACAACATCAGAAATCTTAGGTACATGTCTTCAAAACAAATATTTATCGTAAACAGAGTTACAAAGTATTTTTAGAATACCTTAAATATTTCAGTGGCTGGAGGAAGAAGCAGACTTCATCTCATTGACCTTGGAAGTTCTTCAAAGTCTAAAGATCCTGACAATGTCTCACTTAGTCTCTCTGCACTGGGGAATGTCATCATGGCTCTTCTTAATGGTCAAAGACATGTACCTCACAGGTAACTTAAGTCTATATACATTGTAGCAAGCAGTATCTTAAAACATTTGAAAGAAGCAAGCTTGTATCATTTTGTGCAAATGCTAGGAGTTGGGTTTTCATTGTTTAATCAAATTTAGCATTGAAGCATCATTGTTTTAAATGCATTTTATCTTGGCTTTTGGTTTATATTTTTATTTGCCGTATGTACCAGGTATTAGATATATATACTTCAAAACTCTAGACCTCACAAGAACCAAGTGAAGAAACAGTGTGTAAGCCTAAACTCTCTGTCTGCTTTTCTAATTTATATTGCAGTGGATATTCTTGATCCCTAAATAATCTATTTTTAAGGAAAAAAGTTGTAATGACAGTAATGATATACACGTGTCGAAAAGATATAATAATGTGTTCTAACCTCTGTAAAAAAGCCTATTATTTTAAATTCATTAGCTTTAATAAGTACAGTCCACAAATTGTGTAAAAAAGATCAGATTTGGAATCTCTGAAGCTTGACTTGATAATTCTCCTCTCATTAGAGTGACTTTCATGTCATAATGCCTACGAAAAAAATATCTCCATAATGAATTCGTTTGTGGATTAAAAAGCTAGTTTTGACACGCTTCAAAATCTTTGGCCTCAACTTCAAATAATTATAGTGCAAGTTATATAGGAAGCAAATTAACAAGAAAAACCTAGGATAATGACAAACAGATTTTTACACTGAAGAGGGGCAAAACAGTGTTTATTGTATCTTGAACTTATTGGCAGATATCCTATTTTCAGGATGTGTTGCCAAGAGGTACAATTTTTTTTATTAAGGTGTTATAAAGAGGAATATAAAATCAGAGATGTTACTAATTTTTTTAACTCCAGCATGTCTTATTACCTATTAATGAAGAAGAGATAGATTATCATTAAAGTATGTAGAAGATTGCTTCATGAGGTAGAATCTTGAACGGCACTGAGTGCTGTCTGTTGGCTCTTGACATTATGACAAAGAATAACGGCCATTGGTTGGATTGTAAATGTTATTATCTACATAAATTCCTTTGATGTGCCAAAGAACTATTATTGAGATAAATTCACTCAATCCAGAATGAACAAATAGTTAATTACCTGTATCTTGAGATCTACCCATGATGCAGGAATTTGTGTAATTAGTGGATTACATATCCTGCTTGCTTGTTAAGTGAGTTGAAGTTTCAAGACATATCTTGGAAGTTGTGTTCATTAAATGGTTAGATAAGATTGTTGTATTGTGCATTAAATTCAATAAAGAATAGCCCTGGAAACATGTGAAAATCAAAATAGCTGTGTAAATCATTTTGTTTTACAGAGATAGCAAAGTGGCCCAGCTGCTGAGGGATTCTCTAGGAGGAATATCCTGCCGTACGTGTATGCTTGTTCATGTCTCCTCGTCAGTAAGTCACCACAACGAGACCCTACAAGTTATTCAGCTAGCAGCAAGGATTCACAGAATGAGGAGGAGAAAAACAAAGGTAAGGCATTTTTTTGTCCCTTTCTTGTCTTTTCTTCTGTCTGCAGTGAATGTTAAATATTTTTTGCTTTAAACTTTTGAATTGAATAGTAGTAGCCAATCTCTTTAAGTCTGGAACACATACTCAGCTATTTCTGCCCTTCTGTTGCAATATAAGATTCAATATAATGTCCAAAAATATCAAATCATTACTTGGCCATGTTAGCAAATATGTTTTACTCATAATTTTTTTCTATATATAATAATTACAATATGTATATAATTTATTTTTAATCAATGCATTGTTTTTGTAGTTTTCAAGTACCAGCTCTGATGACAGTTCCACAGATGATGGAAGACTTAGGAGACCTTTCAAAGGCTGTAGAATGGGAACCCTCAGAGAAGATATGCTGTACCACTCTTCTCATTCAGACCCTGACTATTATACCTCTAGCAGTGAACAATCATGTGATACTGTTATATATGTTGGTGCTAATGGGCAGTCTCTCAGTGACCGTGAAATCACAGACAATGAAGGACCACCAAGGTCTGTTCCAAGGACAAATCCAAGATTACCTAGACGACCCAGTGGGTCAAGGTCATCTGGGGATGAGGGATCCAATTCAGATAGTGGACGTAGTCATGCATCTTCAGATTTCAAGTACGGGAGAGCTGCTATGATTCACAATGAGAATTTCAATGTGAATAGAACACTTTCTCCTAGATTCCAGCCACAGCCTGTTAAACTACCGTCAACAGTGAGGGATGTCAGTGTTGTGTCCTCTCATGCAAAGTCACCACCAATGTCACCAAGTGTGGGGCAGAGTCAACATCCTCTCAAAACTCCCACACGTTCTAGATCACAAGATTCACCTCAAAGGATGACAGTGAAAGGAGGACCTACATCGGAACAGCTAAAAGGAGAGCAGTGGATTGATGGGCCTGGAGTATATTCAAAGAGCAAATTAATGGAGGAGCAGTGGATTGATGGACCACAGGCTTTTGTGAAACAAGAACTTGTCAATACCTTGGATCCTGCAAACAAACATCTATTCAATCCCAAAATGAATGCTGAAGAGCAATGGGTAGATGGACCCATTGAAATGATAGCTGGATCTCAACAGCCAAACAAAGAAGGAAAAGCAACCAATGCAAAGTTATCTGTGCACACTAGTTGTAAAGTTGAAAAACCATCGAAACATAAGTCCAAACCAATGCTTGACATAAAAGAACGTCCTGAGAGCACTTTCAGTGAGGAAAGCAACTCCTCATTGGCTGTGCAAGGCCCAGATTCAAGGCCAGTAAGTTTACATGAATCTGAGGAAAAAACTGAAGCTAACCAGCAAAATGTAAAGCCTTTTGTAAGAGACTGGGTTCAGAAACATAGTACAATTGTTGATAGTAAAACTGCTCCAAAGAGAGAGGATCATTCTGATATCATGGAATCCCAGTGTAAATACAAAAAGACAAAGGCAGAGTCTCATCGTAAACTGAGTGCTTCAACGCCAAAACAGTCACCCATGAATTCACCATCAGTTCCAAGAAAAACTAAATGCGACTCGCAAGCTGTTGGGAAGTTGCAAAAGTCACACTTACCAACACCATCCAATCCCACCAAACGAGTCAAAGATTGGATACAATCTGTGACGATAGAACAAACCCAAACAAATTGTGACAATTTTGTGTCAGTTAGTGACTTTGGTTGTGAACTTAATGCGAGGGTTTCTGAATTGAATACTTCTCAGGATTTGTCTTCATGTAGTAGCATTCAGTTAGAAACTACTATGGAAGTTGACTCTCAGTGTGAAACAACCATGAACACAGCTCCCTGTAGCAGTGATGGTCGACCAGATGAGATGGCAGAGTGCAATATTGGTGACATTAGTTTTGATAGCAGTGTGGATGCTTGTGATACCAGCAATTCACTTAACAGGGAATCTATTTATGAAATGCAGATGGATGCACAACTAGAAAAGAGTGACTTGAAAAATGTGGATATCCCAGACAATGATACATTCAGTAGTGTTAGCAAAGACGAGGACTCAGATTGTGAAAATGAACCTCTTCTTGCAAAAGAGTACAACTTTCCTCATTCATTGACTGTGGAGAGCTTGAAAACACTTGTTGCAGAACCATTTGGTGCCGATCAGCAGAAATCGAACCAGAATCAATCTTATGAAGGGTGTGAGCTTGATAAAAAAATCAAAGAGAATTTATTCATTTATGACAAAGCTAAACCAATATCTTCATTACATCGTACACCTGATGGTGCTTCAAATCCAAATTTAGTCAATGAACTTAATTATGAAGAAAAAATTGACATGAAGTTCATGAGAGGAGAATACATCATCAACCATGTGCAGCAGATTTCTAGTCACAATATGGATATTTACCAGAAAGCTACCTCACTTGTTAAGTATGAGGAACCTGATGTTAGGAAATCAAAGTCAAAGCCACCCCTTCCTAAATTATGTAAATCTCACAGTGCTAGTCCATCACGTTGTAAGGATTTGAGTCTCAGCCCCAAATCTCCTGGCTCGTACACAAGTAAAACATCTTCACCAGGTGGTCATGTCAGTCGTTCAAAAGAAAAGTCACGTCAGACTTCAACATCTTCAATGTCGTCACAGTCGTCTCTTCCGGTCACCACCAGTCCATCTTCAAAATCATCAAAATCTCCATCTCCCAGTAAACTCCCCATCTTTTCCAGTAAAGGATCTCGTAAAAAAGACAAGGAAAATAAAGTTGGCAACGGTCGTGTAGTTGAACTGAATGCGTCCAGTAGAGGAACAGACTCTGACAGTGGTAATGACAGTGGGATTGTTGCACATGAGAAAAAGTTACTTTCTCCGTATAACACAGTGACAAAACCCCGCACTCCTAGCCATTCCAGCAGTGGGCATGGTAGTGACAACAGTAGTACTGTCAGTGCTGATCTGAGGTCTCAGCTGGGGATCAAGGACAAACTTCATGGGGGGACCAGCAGTGGATATGAAAGCATGTTGAGAGACAGTGAAGAGGCATCAGCAACATCTTCTGGACAGGAAGAGAGCAACAGCGAAACCCCCAATGATAAGAAAAAGGGATCCAAAAAAAAGAAGTCAAGTTAGTATTTCCCTCTTAAATTTTTCTGAAATATATTCCTTCACTGAAAAACAATAAATTTCATTAATCAATGTTTAATTGAACCTTTTTGTTATTGTAGGCACCAAACGGAGTCGCTCTGCCCCAGCTAGATCAGGGGAGAGTCCTGATGGTAAAGGGTCTGTCGTCTCAAGTCCCTCATCTAAGGCCTGGGTGGACACAAGGCAAATCCAGAGAATCAAGGAGGAGCCATTTGAAATCAAGTTGTATGATATGGATGATGTGGAGCGACTTGCAAGGAGACGAAATGAAGAAGAGGTAAAGAATAGGGATTGTCATTGTTTATATTGATTATTGTTTAAAGGTTTTTAAAATTTAAGGAGGCAGTTAACATTGCATTCTAAAGAGTTCTAATTCCATGCTAAGAGTGCATATGTAAGATAGAAACATTTCAAAGAAAGCAAAAGAAAGATAATTCTTATTAAAAGATTTGATTTTTTTTTCTTTCAGGAAAATGATCAGAAAAAGGAAAGATTGTTGAAGCAAGGCAAACCACTGGAACTTATTGACCACAAAGATCAGATTGTGATGGAAAACCGGAATTGGAGATTTGACTGTCGTTTCTTCATGTGCTTTTGCCGTAATAAACAGAAACAAACAGACTTGTAAATTGTCAAACTTGCCAATGAAATAATAATCAACTTTGGCTGCCAAATATTTCAAAGTGCATTAAAAAAGAGAGTTTGCAGGATTTGGTCATGTGTGCATTTGTTTTTGTTCTGATTTTATATCATTATGCATTGTACATATTGTATATAAACTTTATTTATATATATACAGATTGCATGTATATTTACATGCATTTAAACTGTAAAAGATTTTGTACATTTTTATTATTTATATGTATGCAGTAAATATGCAGTTTCCCTTTGCAATAGTTTATGCATGGTAGACTTTGGGAATTATGACATCTATGTACTTATATATTATTTGTAATGTGGTATCAATAAATATATTTGTACCATTTCAAAAAAAAAAATTATCTTTCACATCTTGAATCAACTCAAGGATTGGTGAGGTAATAATGTTGACAAAATAAAAGCAGCAACAAAGAAACAAGTTCCACTGTGGACTACAATTGCACAGTAATGGCCAGGTTGTATGCTTTGATCATGATACAAACAGCTTTTTTATACCCCACTCAGCAAGTTGTTGAGGTAATAATGAATTTCCGCTTTTCAACTTAGATTTTTGGCCATATCTTGAATATGATGAATAGTTTTCAGCACAACTCCTCTTTAACCGCTGCACACAATTTCGTCAAACTTTGCAATTATTCAGGACAATTTGCAATTTACCAGGAAATGCCGTTTCCTATATTTTTTCTGGGAATTTTTTTGCACTTTTCAACTTAGAGTTTTTGCCATATCTTGACTATGAAGATGAACAGTTTGTCAGCACATCTCCTCATAAATCGCTGCAGAGAATTTCGTCAAACTTTGCAGACATTTAGGAGACAATGTGTAGATGTGGATTTTACTGGGAAATTCCGATGAAAATTTAAATGAGCTTGCTCAATCTATAATGAAAGGAACTGTCGGGTATTGTACAAAAACTACAATAGGAAAATTGAACTTGTGACATTTTGATCAAGGAATGTCCACTCTATCACGTTGTAAAATTTGAATTTTAAGGTAAAAGAAAATTTTCTTTTGCATTTACCTATACCTAGAATATTTAAAATTTACATGATGGCTCTACCGATTGTCGAGTTACTGTGGTGTTCTGAATAACTGCCATATTAATAGGGCATTATCATTAGGTAGTGTACATTCAAAGGACTATATTTGATGTGTTTGCCACGCCCTCTAATTTTTTCGGAGAAATCTAAATTTACGTTCTAAAGTAAAACCAAGGGGATATCTACACTTCAAAGCATAAATATATCAGCCGTGGCGACATATATAAGATATGACGTCAGGAAAATGACGTAAATTCCAAATATCCACGTTTTATAGAAAAAAGGTGTACATTAATATCTCGTCATTTAAAGAAAAGCGCAGTGTCTGCTACAACTCAATCAATGTTTTGATATATTGTGTAGTATGATGATGTGTATGAAGTATGTTAATGTTATTGTAGAGAAGGTTTGCACGATATAATTTAAATGTTAAAAACTGAACAAATTTTGTCCTCCTTCTGAAAAATAACAAAATCCAAATTAGTTTGTGACGTCATAAAATAAAAAAGTCAAAATTATATATTTTTGTAAATTCATGTTTTTCATAAAGTATATACTATTCAGCACGTTTCAAGAAATTTGCAAAATTTGACTTTCATGTTGCAAAAATATGCACATTTCGCATAAATAGCTCTTTGTTCAAATCAGAATCCCAGCGGGTAACGATAGGGCGAAAAAATTCTCATAAATGAATATAAAGGAAAACAAGAGGAAAAAATTCACCTGAGCAATTGGCTAAAAAAAACACAGATCAGATCAGAACTGAAAGTAAACTTTCTTATTTTACAAGCCCCCCCCCTGTTAGTCAAGATTTGAACAAACTTGAATCTACACTACCTGACTGATTCCCAATAAATATAACGAAGCCTGGCTTTGAAGTAATTAAAAGAAGATTTTAAAAGGTTTCCCTATGATCAGCAAACCTGTGATAAGTCGTTTCCCCAGTCATGATTTGAACAAACTTGAATCTACACTACCTGAGGATGATTCCACATATATATCTTTCCTGGCCCAGTGGTTCTTGATAAGAAGATTTTTAAAGATTTTTCCCTATATTCCTTTGTAAAACCTAGATCGGCCATTATTGGATACCCAACCCCCGGGTTATAATGATGAACAAACTTGAATCTACACTACCTGAGAAATTCCACATGCGTTTCACTTTCCTGGCCCAGTGGTTATTTAAGAAGATTTTTAAAGATTTTCCCTATATATTCCTATGTAAAACTTTGAAGTTGCCATTTTGGCCCCACTTACCCCCGGGGGTCATGAAACAAAATTTTGCTACAAAACCTTGAAAACCCAAAATATTTTTAAAAATGTTATTAAAAATTTTTAAAGATTTTCCCTATATATTCCTATGTAAAACTTTGATCGGCCATTTTGGCCCCACTTCCCCCGGTCATAATGGAACAAAAATCTACACTACCGTTGATTCCACATCAGTTTCATCTTTTCTGGCCCAGTGGTTCTTGAGAAGAAGATTTTTAAAGATTTTCCCTATATATTCCTATGTAAAACTTTGATCGGCCATTTTGGCCCCATATCCTGGTCATGATTTGAACAAACTTTCTACACTACCTAAAATTCCACTTGTTTCATCTTTCCTGGCCCAGTGGTTCTTGAGAAGAAGATTTTTAAAGATTTTCCCTATATATTCCTATGTAAAACTTTGATGGTGGCATTTTGGCCCCACCTACCCCAAGTTTAATTATGTTAACAAACGTGCAATCATAATTATGAGGATGATTCCACATCAGTTTCATCTTTCCTGGCCCAGTGGTTCTTGAGAAGAAGATTTTTAAAGATTTTCCCATATATTCCTAATATAAAACTTATCATTTTGGCCCCATATGGGTATATGAACAAACTTGAATCTACTCTACCTGAGGATGATTCCACATCAGTTTCATCTTTTCTGGCCCAGTGGTTCTTGAGAAGAAGATTTTTAAAGATTTTCCCTATATATTCCTATGTAAAACACGGACCATTTTGGCAAAACATCAGAGGTGGGTCATGATTGAACAAACTTGAATCTACACTACCTGAGGATGATTCACATCAGTTTCATCTGCTCCTGGCCCAGTGGTTCTTGAAATAAGATTTTTAAAGATTTTCCCTATATATTCCTATGTAAAACTTTGAATTTTGGACTAACAATATGTATGAAAAACTTGAATCTACACTTTGATTCCACATAAATTGTCATCTTTCCTGGCCCAGTGTTCTTGAGAAGAAGATTTTTAAAGATTTTCCCTATATATTCCTATGTAAAACTTTGATGCTGCCATTTTGTTTCCATCAACCCCCGGGGGTTGTTTGTCAAACTTGAATTTACACTACCTTTTCCACATCAGTTTCATCTTTCCTGGACCAGTGGTTCTTGAGAAGAAGATTTTTAAAGATTTTCCCTATATATTCCTATGTAAAACTTTGACTTATTTTGGTCCCACATACCCCCGGGGGTCATGATTTGAACAAACTTGAATCTACACTACCTGAGGATGATTCCACATCAGTTTCATCTTTCCTGGCCCAGTGGTTCTTGAGAAGAAGATTTTTTAAAAATGTCATTAATTTTTCTCTAATTCATAATTATCTCCCCTTAAAAAGGGCCTGGCCCTTCATTTGAACAAATTGGAATCCTCTTCACCCAAGGATACTTTGTACCAAGTTTGGTTGAAATTGGTCCAGTGGTTGAGAAGAAGATGAAAATGTGAAAAGTTTACGACACAACAACCAACATGTTAACGACAACGACAGACAACGGACAAATTTTGATCAGAAAAGCTCACTTGAGCCTTCGGCTCAGGTGAGCTAAAAATTATATCCAGAACAGAAATCATGGCTATTCATATTTTCCTACTAAAACTTCCAGAGTTAGTGAAGATTTTTGTTCATTTCATGACTTTTGGGGTAGGTTAGGTCTAAGGTGGAATATCAATATACATGTAATATAACGGAGAATCCAGAACAGCAAAGCTGTGATGTCTTATCAGTATGAAAGTATCTTCAGGTAGTGTACATATAAATTTGTTCAAATCTGAGTACATTGATTCTCAAGGAAAAGGCAGAAATTATTTCAGTATAGAAAAAAAGGATAAAAAGTAAGTGTTCACAAATATCCCCATCCCTTTCTAGAAAGGAGGCATGTTAATGAGGATGTTTTCAATGTTTTCATATTCCTTTCACCAGTCATGGATTAATCTACTTTTCAAGAGTTTATTCTTCCGTACATTTGATCTACTATAATTGTTGCCCCGCTTACCCACAAGGAATATAATTTGGTAAAAACTTCTACACTACCTGAAAAAACTCCTGAATGAATGTGATTAACCATGGATTTTCCCTTTGTGGGAAAAAGAATCTTAAAGACTTTCCCTAAATGTTCCAATGTTTAACTTTCATCATCCACTATAAACCGTCCTCACCATAGAGGGTCATGATTTGAGAATATTTGAATCAACAATATCCGAGGATGCTTCCATAAAAATATAACTAATTGTGGTCTTCTTGCTGTTCTTGAGGAGAGAGTTTATCCTATGTTTTGAAAAAAATAGAATCTATAAACATGACCTTTGAATGCTTCCAAATAAACATATGTATGACTAAAATGACTAATCAAGGCTTGGCTGATCTTGAAAAGTTTTTAAAAGTTTTTCTATGTATTCCCACGTAAAACTTCGATTGCCCTGCTTCAACCTACCAGCGGGGGAAGGGGGGTACATGATTTGAACAAATTAACACTATCTAAATTTGAATTAAGGTATACCTTTACTCAGGATGACTAAAAATTCCACTGATAAGAACGGATTCTTGCATGCATGTTTAAAATTGGTTGCTCAAAGAGGTAAATTCACTACTTTGCCCTACAAGATGGCTGCTAAGGGGAATAACTCCTAGACAAAATATGTCACAGGAAAAGGGTCTATTACAAGCAACACAACTCTTTATTTAATAAAATATTATAGCAACAGAACAGCTTTGCTTTATATGAAGAAAAAATTAGAGTTTGGGCCAAAACTTAATAATTATTACCGTCCGAATTTCCTCTGTCATATTTATATTTTTTCCCCATTTTAAATTGAATATTTAAAAAAATCTGAATGATAAGAACTCTAAATTACTTATAGCCCCAGGTTACTTTTGTTGCCCTTATTCTCATGGTATTAATATTTAATGGAGTCAATGATCAAATTATTGAGATATGTTGTCTGGAATGGTTTTTGTTCACATTTTTGAATTTCTTTATCCAGGTCTGGACGATTTCTAAATAAGGAAGTCAA